CTCTTCTTCTCCTTCTCCTTCTTCTCCTCTTTCTCCTCCTCCTTCACATCTTCCCCTCTTACCCAGGCAGCTGTCAATTTCTGGGATGTTTGATTGGTTTTTCTTATTGCTTCGAATGTGTAATAAAGCAAAGTGAGGCCGGCATAGTGCCTCATATCTGGTAACATTCCAATGCCAGCCTAGGCTATCATGAGACTCTGCCTCAAAAAAAAATGAAAAAAGGGAAAGGACAGCTTTAGAGACATAGTAGTTTTGCCTTCCCTGGCAGGGTGTGCCCACCTGCCACAATGACTGCATTTATTCTGAATGCCGCCCAAGGCTGCCCCACTTGTTATTCAGCAGACCTTGATAGCACTGCTGCTTACACGGTCAGCCTGCCTAGGATGTCAAGATTGGGTGTTCTATGGGACATGCTCAGAATGATGTCTTAACTATAGTTCATGAAAGGAGAAAGTAACCAGAAGAGCCCTTTTGGAGTTGATTCCATTCTTGCTTATATTTAGAAATAGTCATTTTCTATGAGCCATAACCCCTTAGTTTTTACTCTTAGCTCTCAGAAACCTGCAAAAGTTAAGGTGGATCAGTCTTAGAAAGTTAATTCTGCTCCCATCCAGACAATACACAATCAGAGGCACACTATTGAGTACTTTTTGCTGCACAGAGCCCCTCAAAGAGGGAGCATTGACTACTCTCCCGGAAGCAGTGGATGCTGACTTTTAACTGCTGGGAAAGAGACTTTTGTGACATTGGTGGATCCAGGAATCACTTCATGTTCTATGTTTTCCCCAGAGAAAGGAAGGGTGCAGCTAGGAACAGGAAGGCTGTGGAGAAACACTTCCACTAGACTGGTTTAAGCTCTTCTTTTCTTCTTAGCTCCTCTAGATTTGGTCACTTACCTACCTGAATTGGCCAGCATTATAAATGAGCTCCATCCTGGTATAGATGTAACCAGGCACAAAGATTTAACAGCTGGAGTAGCTCAGACCTCTGGACCAGATTTGCCCGGAGGCATATTCCAGGATACACAGACTTTCAGTAAGTGAGGGCCTTGCTTCAGGGGAGCCTGGGGCAGGCATCACTATCCCTGCAATGATATTACATTTCGGGTATCTTCTCCTCCATGTCTCACTGAAACCCTACTTTCCTCCAGCACACTGAATTCACATAATGAATAGTCAAAACTGTATTTCACAATTTTTTCTAGAAATCTCTGCTGCCTTGCAGTTGGACATGGCACCCCTCTGTCTTGGCTCTTTTTCTCTTGCTAAGATAAAATACCCAACACCCAAAGTTAAAGGAGGAAATGCTTATTTCATCCCACAGTCTGCAGAGCTTTCATCCAGCTGATTCCAAAGCAGGGCAGCATGGCAGAGGGGCATCACAGAGAAGAAACAGCTCAGAGCTCAAGGTAGAGGGGACAGAAGGCAGCTACAGGCAGTAGCAAGCCTGCCCTCCCACACTTCTTCTATATCCCACCCAGGCTGTAACTCTGTTGACTGATTCCACTCACACCAGGGTGGGGCTGCTCCCATCCACAACCTTATCATATCTTAATGTAGAGCCACACACCCTAACATAGCTACTACCAAAGCCCCACCTATGACTGCACAGAGCCCCATGGGATGTCTAGACACAGTACATAATGACAAATGAGTTCACTGTTGATGCAGACCCAGTTGTGAACCAAGATCCAACTGTTGGTGATGTCCTGACCTTTGGATTAGAGTCCACCAGAAACATATTCCAGGAGGACACACAGACTGCCAGTAAGTGGGGACCTTGCTTCAGGGAGGTGCGGGCAGGCATCGCTGTCTCCTATCTATTCCATGCCTCAGTGAAACCCTGCTTTCCCCCACTGTGCTAGATGTTCACAGTTAAGTGGTAGCCACACTTATAGTTCAAATTTTTGTCCCAGAAATTCTCAGGTGATTTGGAGTTGGAAATGTCCTCTAGGTCTTCATTCTTATTCCCTTGCTAAGATAAAATACCCAACACCCAAAGTTAAAGAAGGACATGTTTATTTTAGCTCGCAGTCTGCAGAGCTTAAATCCAGCTGATTCCAAAGCAGGGCAGCATGGCAGAGGGCATCACAGAGGAGAAACAGCTAATGACAAGGCAGAGGGGGCAGAAGGAAGCTACAGGAAGTAGCAACCCTGCCCTCCCATGCTTCTTTGTGTCCCACCTGAGCTATAACTATTGATTGATGCCGCTCACTTGAGGGTGGGGTGACACCCATCCACAACCTTAGAACCAGTATCACATCTTAATGTAGAGCCAAACACCCTAACACAGCCACTCTCCAAAGCCCCATCTAAGACTGCCTGGGGCCTGATTAGGATGTCTAGATATAGTCCATATTAACAAATGAGCTCACTGTTGATACAGATCCACTCGTGAACCATGATCCAACTGTTGGTGACGTCCTGACCTCTGGATTAGAGTCCACCAAAAACATATTCCAGGAGGACACACAGACTGCCAGTAAGTGGGGGCCTTGCTTCAGGGAGGCATGGGCAGGCATCGCTGTCTCCCATCTACTCCATGCCTCAGTGAAACCCTGCTTTCCTCCAGTGTGCTGGATTTTCACAGTTAAGTGGTAGGCACACATAGTTCAGATTTTTGCCCCAGGAATTCTCAGGTGATTTGGAGTTAGACATATATGCTCTGTCTTCACTCTTATTCTCTAGCTAAGGTAAAATACCCAACACCCAAAGTTAAAGAAATATGCTCTGTCTTCACTCTTATTCTCTAGCTAAGGTAAAATACCCAACACCCAA